TAAGGATATAATCCAGATAATTCATGGGGCGACTTAAAAGGCCACCCTAATAAAAACTGATAAAATAACCAGTCAGGTTGCGGTATTTTGTCTGGGAAGACCATTTTTCCTAGAATGAAGATTCGTGGTTGGTTGTTTCATTAGTTGCTAGAGTGACCTTTAAAGTCACTCTGAATCCTGACCCAAACTAAATATCGATTGGATGATCACCAAAATATGTCTCATACAAATCAATAACCCTTACAAATTTCACTGATTTACGGTTTTGTACTCTATCGTGGCCTAATTTCTCATCAGACAATGAATTCCCTTTCTCATCATCATTAAGACCGCTAAAATCTAGTGGGTTTTCGAGGATTTGTTACCAGTTTTCACTAGAAGGTCCGTTATTATTCGAATAATAAAAAAATAAACCATGTAAAACTTGGTAAAGGACAAACAAAACATATCTGATACTCAGAGCAGTTTTCACTGCAAACTTTCAATCGTTATAGAAAATCTAGAAACTAGGAATCACGTGAAAACAGCTACCTGCCATTTGAGGCTTCTAAGCAGTAGACGCCGGGGAATCCATCAACAGTCAAGCCAATGAAAATCAGACCCAATATCTTGCAAGCTATCGCTCAGCCACTGTAGTTTTAAAATAATTCTGTAGCTGTTGTCAGTGAAACAGTTATGAAAATAATTTTGAAACTAATTACTCAGAAACTCACAGACTGCTAAGTCACTTTCTACCATTTCTTAGGTTGCTATGTGTTTTTTGTCCACTAATTTCTTCTATTCTTTCGGATTTTACTTAGTTATTCATCGACAAAATTGGATTTTCGTAAAATTTCTCCCTAGTTTCAATGAGATATTTTTTGGGGCATAATCTGAAGGTTTCTTTCAACTGTTTCATCTTTTCATGACCTTAACTATATGGAGAAAACTGTGAGAGACATCAGAAATCAGATATTTCTAGTAGTAGAGATTTAAAAGGTTGCTAGGTTAAGCCAAAAAATAATTGAATACGACAATGCGAATAGCAGGAAAACTAGCAAATTTAATGTAGGTAAGGCAAGATTATAGAAGAAGGTTCACTGGATATGATCTACACCTGACCTACAGCTGAGTGAAGGACTGGAAGTAAATCTCTGTTTTTCAAAAGGTTTTAGTCTCATTTAGCAGAAGAAAAAGAGAAATGTACGGCTAATTATTTTCCACAGCGTCAAAACTGCCAAGGTTTATGAAATGTTACTCGCAAACTGAAGTAAGAAATGCAGACGGATGGATGCCAACCTAGTAGTCCAATGGCGACATGATGGCTACAGAACCTGAAGGTCAATCATCATGGATACACACTGCTGAGGAGTCTCGTACTAGGGTGAAACAGCTATCCAGTGCTCCCAATTTTCCAGTGGTTCTCCAACCGACGACGGTCCACGGCGATTAGTAACCTCAAATCTTACTCTTCTGCACCCATTTACGCGACGATAACAGACTTCTTTGCATAAGAAGGTAGAAGTTGATTTTCGTCAACTTTGAGAAAGCATCATATAGGTTACAACATGAGGTAGATAGCATAGCACCTTTCAAAGAGGAAACATCTTGAAAGCCTAGAGATCTTCTAAGAAATACTGGTTGACATTTATGGCTAGATGTAAAAATTACTTAACATTTAAATCCTTCTCTGCTTATATCACTGCTGTTTAAATGATGAACCTTTGTAGATGACGTCAACAAAAGTTATAAATCACCTTCTTTAAACTTTACCCAGATATTGTAGTAAAAGGAATGTCGTATTACAATGGAATGACCTTCTGCAGTGACAAAGTTCAGTATAACGGTTCGACTTAGTTTCCTATCATGACAAAAAGGGTTTAAATAAATTTTGAATTTGAAAAGGTAATTTTTACTGAAAAATTGGTCAAACTATTGAACTATACATTTCCGTGTAAACTTCAGTAGATCCCGAAGTGTTAAGTGTCCATCACTGATCAGAGTTTTTCGATTCAGTTTGCAATGAGGCTACTGAAATTAGTGATGCGATACAGAGTTTCAGGAGCTGATGGCCAAGAGACTGTAATCCAAGCAACGTATCTTCTGGTGCTGTATCTGCAGTCTTGAGAAAATTAATCTTCATTTGGGCTTTTGTTGACATAATCCAGCCTGGTGGGATATCATTTCTGATCCAAATAGCTTGACGGTAAGGTCTCTAATTTCAGAAGTGAATTACGCTTGTTAGATTCTCCAAGGGAACATAAGTTTCCTCTTTGTTAAACTATATAGTTAGCACCTGCCAGTGAAATACAGGGTATGCTTTCCCTCTTGTTCAGGACTTGTCGGTTCGGTACGTCTCATTACTAGAGATTAATAATTTTTCCAACAAGAATTGAATATAACAAGCATCATTTCAACCAATAGTGTTCTCTGTGAGGGTCATGAGATGTGACAACCACTTATTCTGAAACCAGAATCTGCTATAATTAAAGTTTTTCACTTACATTCTTGGTGCTTATAGATCTAAGTTAGTTGGGTATTAATGCTGTATAATTTCTTGGTGTGATGCTCTAATACTGTTTGTGGTTTTATCCTTATCATGCATCATATACAACTCCATGCTTTTAAACACATTGTGAACATTGCCACCAATCAACAAGCATTTCTGCATAATGTTATTCGGTTGTTTGTATGTAACCAATAGTTTTATAACTGCAATATATATTACACTCTGAGAGTATTGATTTAGCTAGCTTTCAAAATGATATTAATGTTACGAATCAATCAATGATAGACTTATATCGTACACGTGAAAAGCATATGTGCATGATGTATAGATGTATGTCTATCTATCCATCTGCAGCACAATTTTATGAATTTTTTTAATGATTTTGAAATAAATGTTGGTCATACTTGATTAAGTGTTTTGCTTAACTGGTAAGGCAGTCAGCAAACTAAAACACTGCTGGCCTAAATCCCATTACAGTCATTATCCTAGTTCTAATGTCTCCTGATAAATGACTAAGTGAAATTGAGATGACATTAGTTTTTGTTGACAGTATTCTGTCACCCTTCATGTTAATCATGTCATAAACGGTAGACTGAAGATGAATAAGTAGGTAACTGACAGATGTAGAACATTAATAGTTGTACATGCAAGAATTCCAAAAGTATAAAAAATGATATTTTAAGCCATTTGTGAATTCGAGTTCATTTCCACACTCTTTAACACCCAGATGTGTCAATAAGGCTTCCACTGTAAAATAACTGTAAAACAAGTAGTTGTAAGTTCTATAATTTCTTTCAAGGAGACTAAATAGTTCAGCTATATGGTCTACATTAATCTCGGCTTAACAAGAAAGGTATTCATCTAGCTAAAAGAAGCGATTCAATTCGAAGGCTTTTGGAGATTTAGTTGATTTATTGGTTTCACATTAGCATTCGTCATAGACTGACATCAGTTGGAGAAACACTGGAAACGTGGAAGCACTGAACAGCCGCTCCGTCCTAGTGTGGGACTCAGCAGTGCGAACCTGTTATCCAACCTGGGTGGAACTCAGGACCTGAACTTTCCATGGCCGGCACGTTGTCACCGAACCACTGGGTTGGCATCCAGTGGTTCACATTTCCTACTTCTCCCATGCACAGACATCATCGGCCTAGTGAACAACGTATAGATGTTTGAAGTGACGTACGCGAGGTCCAAGTGTAAGGAGGAACAACATGGCTCTCTGAAATGCAGGCACAAGCCGCTGAAGAATCCCAAACAGAATGAAAGGCGCTTCCTGACTTCCTCTGCTAGCCAAAACCGAGTAAATTATGATCCCAGCTGCTTATTTTAGTAAACATTAATATGGCCTTTAGAGACATTTATCTGTTTCATTTACAACCTGATGACAAATGATTACATCTTAGGAAAAATTGCCATTCATCGAAGTATGAAAAAGGAAAGTTCTCATTGTTTTACTAGGGGACAAGTTGCTATTATGGCAAACTGAAGGCAGTTAAACAAAATATTGGAAACTAAGGAACGTCAGACGGCTGTTTCATTGTTCTAAATCGTTAGCTTGCAGAAATGAGAAATATGGTAATCCACTGAATATCAACTCATTCTATTGAATGTTACGTAATCGCCACTCAACCTGGCTGTCCTGCGATTTGCTTGCTATGACATGGCTAAACAGCTTTGCTGATGGTTCGATGGTTCTCTTAAATGCTGTTTGTGTTTAATGAGAACACAACCCAGTACAAAATATAAATAATTAGCTGTGTCATATATATATATATATATATATGTATATATATGTATATATATATATATATATATATATATATATCGAGAGGGAGAGAGAGAGAGATTAGGGGAAGGCATGAGAGAGAATGAGGGAAAATGGACAAGAGGAAGAGAGATTATGAAACGTGGTATATCCCTTGATGTATGTTCTTTTATCAGTTTGAATATTTGAGATAGCCATGGTTTGGCAGATCTGCATTTATACTGGGCGATAATTGAAGGTGAAATGAAAATTTAGGCCGCGGTGGCATCCTAAACAGTGATCGCAGGTTTCTGGCTTGTTCTCTGCTAACTGAGCTACGAAACTCTACTGTTGACCAGGATTTTACTCCATTTCATCTGTGAATTCACCCCCCTAAGTTTACCTATATTTTCTTATAGGACGCAAGTTATGAATTATTGTCTTCGTGATAGGCTGAAATGCCTCTTTCTGAAATCTTCCGAATCCCTTCCATATCATCGTGGTTCGAGTCGACACTCTCCTGCTAAGGGGCACTCTCATTCTTAAATTTACGTGTTTTATGGACAAACTACATTAGGGGGGATATCAAGAGGTTATCAATGATCTTATGAAATTAAACTTCATCCGTCAGATGTATTAGATTACTGTATTCAAAATTATTGTCGATCAGACTTCTAGGTTATTCATTTTTGTTAGTAATCTCAATTATTTAAAAATGATTGCATATTTAGTGCACTCATGACGGAGATAAACCGAAACACTTACAGTCTTGGAATCTTAGCTGATGCTTCAAGTTGAAACGTTAAATTGCCAGAAAAGCCAGAAATGAAAGACCCAGGCGCACTGCTAGGATTTGTTTCCAGTTTCACTTGAACCCCATCAATAAACCAAGTCAGTAGAGCTCCTGGTTTACCATGACGCGCAACACATTCAAGAACCATGATACTCCCATCGTCCACAATTGCTGGTCGAGATGATCCAATATCTGTTCGCTGACCTTTACCTTCATTGGTTATTTGAAAAAGCTGTGGAGCTTCAGAAGGAACTGTAAAATGAAGCAATAAATCGAGGTATATTATATCAACGATGTAAGATGGATATAAGAATAAGAACTACAAGAGATTACAACCTCTGAAAATGCGATTTGTTCACTTATGACAATAATACTAGTATAAAAGTTTGTTCTGAACAGGTAGCTGAAAAAGATTATGCTCACCATGAAACACTTAGTATTTCACTTTGGTTTTGTTAAAGAATGAACGTATTCACAGTTAAGGATTCCTAAACTACAGTCAATTCAGTCTTCACTACCTTCCACTGAATGTTTGCGGTGATCCATCAGATGATAAATATTTAGGCATACTAAAAACTGACTTCAGATTAATGCATGCAATTTAGTTAGTCTAGTAAATACTTTGCATCACTTATGACATGTTGAGCTGTGGTTCAGTGGTTGAGGGAGATGACTATCAACCGGTGGGTCACGGGTTCAAACATCGCTGCACCTGTAGAGGTTTGGACAAGAGGTGTCACAGGTCCCCACACAATCAGTGTAGCTCACTGCCTACTGTACGAATGTGTACAAGGTTATTGTGTACTCATTATCATGCCAGTCGTTGATGGTTACGACTGTACTCAGTAGCCAACAGCAATAGAATAACTAAGAATCTTCGGGTTGAATGTACCAGGAAATCCGTTTGACGATTGAGAAATATGGTTCCAGAGTGGTCAATTTCAAGAGTATTTGTCTCTTACAAATGGATCTTAAATGAGCGGTTCCTTTCACGTGGCCAAAATCCACTTCATTGTTTATAAATATCTTATCGCTAATATACGTTTCACTTAGGTAAGTTATTTCAATAATTTCTAAATATTTGAGAACAGCTTAGGATAGAAAATTTATTGCAAGTTAAAATCTGCAAAAGTGTACAATATTACTACTTATAAAGATAAGCAGATGCAGGTTGGCCACACTAATCAATGATAATCGCTAGTAATATCGAGGTTATTTAAACAATCAATGGTCATTTACTTTTTAAAACTTATGGTCGAGTTCCCAAGCAATTTGCTGGGACTCACTCAGTCCAAAGGGTCAAGTTATTCGACCTTATTTAGAAATTGACTGGCTAAATGATGATGTTTTCTTTCGGTAAAGTTAAGGCATTTTATAGTCAGTAGTTGGCTTTCTAAACAATGCATATATAACTGTTAAGAAGTTTTGAAACCTGAATTTGTCTATCAGTTTCGGTATATGAAGGCGGTATGGAATTTTTTAAGGAAAACCTGATTCCAGCTGATGCTTATGGGATTTAAAATGTCATTTAGCAGGTGCTGCGTTTGATTTAGAAAGGTTAGCTTCAAATTTAATAAAAATACTATGGACAGTGAGATGTCATCATAATTATCGTATATCAGCACCGGATTGATTAATTCCCTAATCTTCTTAGGTTTTGCTTTATAAGCAGATAATATCAAGTGGCTATGGAGTAAATCGGTAAGAAAGCTGATAACTTTCTGAAGTTACTGTTATACTTGTAAGTTCGTAGAAAAAAAAACAGAAGCTCTTTTAATGCTTTCAGGTTCTTCATTTATGCACTTTTTTGTAAGAGTTTATGGAAAGGTTTTCCGTTCACTAGCCTATTTAGAGACCATATTTGTTCCCTTTATCTCGTGACTGTCAGTGGACACACTTATTATTCTTCAGAGTACAGTGATTGTAATGAGCGATAAACTCAAAGGCTACTGCTTTCGATGTTTCAGGTTCACACACAAAAATAGTTTTCATGTGAGCTGCTTTTCCAAATCCATCTAACGAAATACGCAGACGTATCAATCCAAAATTATCGATTCTAAGCCGTATTAATTCATACAAATTATATTTCGAGGGTTGTGGGGCTTTAGAAACATTTCCAAGTTAGTATTCACCGTAGACTGACATCAGTTGGGTGAGCAACGGAAACCTGGGAGCACTAGACAGCTGTTTCGTCCCAGAACGAAAGACTCCTAAGCAGTGCGCACCCACGACCTCGCCAGGGATCGAACCCGCGACCTTAAGGTTTCGTGGCCAGAGCGTTACCATTGAGCCAGTGGGTCGGAATCCAGTGGTCCATGTTTCCAACTTCTTACAAATTAGTATATAGATGCACATAAAGCCTAGAGAAACTGATATCGATGAAACAAATATCTGTCAACGACTTGATATTGTCTAGCCGTAAGTGCATGAATAAATTTCCCTGGTCATTTTGTAGTGTGGTGATTGAGGTAGGAAACTGGTCATGGCAGTTTTATTTGATTGATGATAATTGATTTGAGGTTATCGACAAGAAGCCCTGAGTCTAGGATAGATAACTGTTGGTACTTGTCAGCCACCACTTAAGACTAGACAATATGCAGTTGGTTACTCTCCATTAACCAGGAAGCCTGAATATCTCATTGGTAACGTCTGTGACTACACCTTGGGGTGATGCGAGTAATAATCTCTGTAGAAGATGTCACTTCCGTTTAGGTTGCATATTCACTTTAATGAAGAGTGCCAGCAAACACGAAATGTAGGTCTCGGGCTGTCTGCTGATTTCCTACAGACATTCATTACGATCAAAATATAGAACGCCCACTTCACATACCACACACTCCAACAACGACTCGAAGTGTATTCTTTATTGATTTTTGGATTCAAATTTCACTGTCTTATCTTCAGTAGTATCTTTCCATAATTTATGGTAGAAAATATGAGTTACATTTTGTGACTATCTGTAGTCGACAAAAAATTTTTAAAAAGGAAGTGAGCCTAATCACTTGTAGTCCTCAGATAACTGTCGTTTGTTCGGAGGGAGAAGCGCTGGAGCTAATTCCTTTTGCCTGGATGTATATTATTGGTTTTGACGGTAGATTTAACTGTTTTGCTTCTGTTATCAATAGATCCAACTAGCATGATAAGTTAGGAATAAATGATTCAATGATTTTGACTCTATGTGCAAGAAATCAGATCAGATTGCGTCAACAAAGTTTATTGCAACAAAAAACATGTTGCTACTATTATTTTTCCTGTATTGATACACTTAGCACATTGAGCTACAAAAGGAAGGCAGCTGGAAGCGATTATATCAAGTGATAAAACCATATCTGTAATCTAATAATGTCGATTGACTTATTTATCCTTCTTCTTCAGTGGGGAAAATAAACAATCAAATTTTACTGAATCACATTCACCTTCCTTTTTATTGTTCTGTCCCAGTGTCTCTCTCTCCACCTCCTTGTACTCATGCATCAGTATCAACTATAATACGGAGAAAAATATCACATCCTGTTTTGAGCAACTCGCTTGCACAAATATTGTATTGGACAGAATTAAAAGGAGGAAGAAATAACAGATATACATAAATGCAAAAGAGATGAGTTGTCACGACAGCAAAAACAACTAAACGAAAGGCGAAATGAGTTAAAATATTCCAAAGAAAGCCACTATCATTTTTCAAACAGCTAAGAAGAAGGAAAAGCATCTTTCTAATAATACAATTTGGAAGTTTGTGGGAATTTATTTATTAATTTAAGGACATCAGCTGGATAAAAATTGGAAACCTGGAAGTACGAGACAGCTGTTTCGTCCTAGTATGAAACTCACCAGTAGTACGCACCAATGATGCCAGCAAGAATGTAAGGCAGGATCTTCAGGTTCCGCGGCTAGCACGTCACCATTGAAATATAGAACATTGGATTTTGAACCAGTGGCTCAATGTTAAAGTGCTAGCAGCAGAACCCGAAGGTCATAGGTGCAATCCCTGACGAGGAGAGGTCATAAGTGCTTACAGCTGAGTTTCGTAGTAGGACTAAATAGCTGTTCGGCACGCTCAGGTTTCCAATGTTTCTACAACTGATGTCCGTACATAGTGAGTACCAACTTGAAGTCATCCTGTTGAATATATATATATATATATATATATATATATATATATATATATACCAGTATTAGTAAACTGTTATAGATATACTTAAGCAAACATAATTCGTTCATAAGTGAAAAATGACCTGTCACTTGAAAAACAAACATAAAATACTATATATTCATTGTAATTCAGATGGAAATACATTCCTTTACGTTAATTTTGTGATTATTTTTTTATAAGGTGCATGTCTCTTGATTTTAAAAGTCTGATGAAATTGTGATAAACTTAAGTAGGCATGAATCCACCTTCCAACGATAACTGTTGGAACTATGAAGGTCGAATTGGCGTTAAAAGCTGACCAACCAATTTTTAATGTTTCCGAGGCTCTAGGGAATCTAACAGGAATATTTCATTTCCTGATTAATAAACTGAATAGAAACTCATTACTTCAGTTTCAGTTGAATATAAAGTTTGAAATATTTTTTTCATCTATTCTGATGCTTTAATTGTGTTTGTCGAGTATGAGTAGGGACGACTAGAGTAACTGAAAAATCAGTCTACTGAATGACATGGTTGTTGTTGCTGTGTATACTTTCTACAGTTAACCTTTTTTTAACAATATTCCATGAGTTGCATTATCTTAAAAAGTCGACCATCGTGATGTTTAATTATGTATTAGATATGTTTGACCGTTTACCACTTCATATGGTATCCATGCTATACTTCAATCTTATGGTAATAAACGCTACTTTGTAGCTGAGGACTGGACATAAACTTATTCACCTAGTAATGTCAACAGTCAAAAGTTGAGTGTCTTCCAATATTACTGCCAACAATATTTCTTATTTATACAACTCTCAGGTTTCAGTACCCAGTCTGTTGAAAAAGTTTCTAACTATCAAAGAAGTTAATCATTTTCCTGGAACATCTGTAATTCTTTGAGCCCGTTTTGACTATGTCATAACTATGTCATAACATACTTAAGAAAATAGTACTTCATCAGGCTTTGCATGATGAGCTAATCAGAAGAGCATGATTCCTCTGCATGTGCCATCTTTCTGTTGAAAGTGAATTGCACTACTGAATCAATTTGAGCAGAAGAGTTCGAACAGAAGTTGTTTCGTCTTATGTTTGTGGGTCTGTTTTATCCGATTAAATGTTT